AACCCCAAGCATCAAAGCGATCGCCCCAACCCTGATCAGGCCAACGTCCTTGATTCTGTCCGTGAAGTTGTCTGCTCAGTCTGCTCGCTGTGACGTTCTTCCTGAAACCTCGCAAGCCTCTCACTGCACTGGCTTCATATGTCTCAGATGTGGCTGGTGTGGCCTGGCTGGTCACATTGCTGGCGTTGGCATGCGGCATGGACGAAGGCTGCGCCAACTGCTGCGACTCGCTGGCACAGCTTGTGATGACCACTGCAAAACACAAGAGCCTCGCCATGTCAAGCAGCTATAAGGTGACCTGACTTTGCTTGAGCCCAACCTTGAACTGGCAGCTCAAAAAAATTGTTAGATTGGGTCCCTTCCTACCATGGCTTTCTTGACATCCGAAAGCTTGAACACTTCCAAGGAAAGTGTGGAAGAACACACCAACTCTTTCGTCAAAGCTGCTGCAAGAATGAACCATGGAATCCAGCGCCTGTAGCTTTTGCAGGCCACATCCCCTACTGCGATGCCTCAGCAATGCTGCAATGCTGGTCAAGACTCGGAAATCGCTCTCACACCCTGTGGGTTTCCGACAAGTAGTATGCACCATGGACTTTGGGGCCAAAGACCTGGCGAGGCTACTAGTAACCAGGGCATCGCTACTAGGAGCAAGAAGCTAGTAGGTTGGAGGCCATCGCTAGTAGGTTGGAGGCCATGACTTCTAGTAGCAAGAGCATCGCTACTAGTAGCTTCCTGTTACCAGTAGCGATGCCCTGGACTCTGGCCGCTTGAGGTACCAAACAATTTTGAAAAGAATCAGTACAGCATCGTACAGCATCAGCTTCAATCAGCCTAATTATCAGTATCTGGCTGTGGCTCAAAAGAAGACCCGGGGACCGGCAGGTGTATATGTTCCTTCAGCATTCTTGAAATCAAAAATGCACCCTCTCAATCAACTACTCTGAAAAAGCAGTGATATGAAAGTCCTTTAGAGGCAAGGGTTTGGCGGTATTCTGCACTGCAGAGTCGATTTTAGGGTCAAAAGCACGCTCTTGCCTCAAATGCCCAAAGCCTTCTAACGAACAGTGAGTCAATCAAAGAAATTTGTTGAGAGGCCTTTCCTGAGGAACGAAATGAAAGAGCGAGTGACTTGCTCGTTTATTGTGTTTCTGTTGCAACTGACACGTTTCAAACGCTGCCTCTTCATATTTTCTTCGATTCTGCTTGGTGATGGTCCCGTCGGAGAGAACCCCGGCAGCATGAACAACACCTGCCTCATTCCACAGTCGATCGTCCAGGTATGTCGGGCTCGAGTGCTTGGGGCGCTGAGGAGAAAATGAAAGTTTAGTAGCTTCTTGCTACTAGTAGTGATGTAGTAGCGATGGCCTCCTAGCTAATAGCGATGTCCTCCAACCTACTAGCGATGGCCTCCTACCTAGTAGCTTCTTGTTAAAGAAAATGAAAGTTGCTGAAGAAAAGTCTCAACTGTTAAACTATTCTCAAATTGACTCAAGCTTGCATCTGGATGCCACACACACACACACCTTTTTCAAAAAGTCCTTGTCTACTTACAAAGCATCGATTGAGGTTTTCAGTCTGCCTCACAGAGTGCTGTTCGTGTCCTCACAGACTATCAGGAGCTGCTTTCCGTGTTCGTGCATTGGGTCTCCAACACACGCAGGCCATTCTGGAGTCTCTTCAAAGAGACGCTCAATTTGCTTGGGGTCTGCAGCGTTGCCTCGACACTCGTGAAGCGTCAACAGCAGGAGTAGCCGTCGTGATGGCTATACTTGAGCTATACTTAAACTTACGAACCCAGCAGCACTCTTTACTCAGCGGTACCAACTTGAGAAACAACACAAGCAATAGCCAAATACACAAGTAACTTGAATCTATGAAATGCGCTATCGGTTGCATCAGCACTATAGGAAGCCTTCGCTCTTACGTCTGTGTCAATTGCCAAGAGACATTTTTCTCTGCGGATGGCAGCACTTGAACTTGCCTAAGAACAGCAAATGCGACTGACCTATGAATGGCTTGCGCTCTTATGAACGTCAGTGCACCTGTGTTGGCATGCGGTTTCGTCCAGGACAAGAAAGTCAACCATTTCACATGTGCCAGCTGTCCTCACGTCGTGATGGCTTTTCCGAGAATTCCAGTCTTAAGGTAGATCTTATGCAAGGCTTACGTTGCTTACTGCGGCACATGTGTGCAATGATAAGATATCCTTACGTTGTAGTTACAGCCAAGGATATACGTGCCTTCTTCAATCTCTTTGAGCGCAAAAGTCAAAATTTGCACCGTGCTCTACGGAAACCTTACAACCATATACAACCATTAGATAAAGTAATTGTGTTCACTCATTGTTTGCCGGCCCCTTACTCCAAATGAGCAGGGGCATTTAGAAAGCTGCGCAAATGGCAACAAGAATGCAATTTGAGAGAGATGAAGGGATGTATGGATATGCACTGAAGAAAGAACTGGAATTGTTGATTCGATTCAGCTGTACAAGCTAAGCAAATGTCAGAAGGGGAAAAGAGCCCCAATGATATGAGACTGAATAGACTGTATTGTCGATTGTGCATCCGCTGCTCTCATGGCAGTGGTTCCTCTATCCATGGCACAAGGTGTGACGTGAGTCTGGCAAAGTGAGAACAATAAAAACAGATGAAATGCTGGTGTTTTGGGCATTAAAGATGCCGGTACTTTCTTTTTTCATCCAGGGGCTCCTGGCATCGCTACTAGGAGCAAGGACGCTACGTTCGGGGCTCCTGACCTTGCTACTAGGAACAAGAAGCTCTTATGTCGTGAGAGATGAGATGGGAGTCGAGACGGGAAAGCAAATTGAGGGCAGAATGAGGTCGAAACCGAAGCGAACGGGTGAGCTGAGGCCTTAAGAAAGGAAGAGCTACGCAGCTACGTGGGAGGACAAGAATTTGACAAGAATCAGGCTATCTCAATCGACAGTGGGAGGACACTTTGTTGAGCAATGATCAACTTGGATCCACTCATGTGGAAACCAAATCCATCTCCCGAGGTCCCGACAATTCGCTCATAGAATTGTTTGGCTTCTTCCGGGACCTACGGTATCCCGGTACGGCCAAAGTGATTCGCTTCACATGTTGCATTGAATCCCCAGGGGCCCAAGCCTTGTCTCTTCTTGAGACGAAGAAGAGATGCCTAGCCCCTGGCAAACAAGAGCTGGTGCACCACCGCGAAAAGGAAAGCAATCCAAAGTAACCTACTAGCGATGGGCTCCAACCTAGGATATCCTAGGCCAAAGTGAATGATGAAAGGAAAGCTGAAGCCACCTGTTACTACTAGCGTCCTTGTTACTACAAGTAAGGCACCTGTTACTACTAGCGATGCACTTGTTACTAAGGAAAGCTGAAGCCACCAGTGGATTCTGTGTTTGTGCCTCGTTCCATGAGGATGATCGCCGCAATGAGACCTAAACCTCCAACTGCTCCAGTGATGAGGTAAGACCTGAGGATGTTCGAAACCGTCACCAGTCTTGCAACTGATCAGAAACCAAGAAGTCCTTTTTTCCACTGTGTTGTCAAATGGTGATTACGAGTTCTTGGAACCAGTTGACTCTTGCGTTCAACTCTTAAGATCTCTTCAACAGTACTGAACAATTAAGGCCAGGACGCGTTCGGGTCTGCTCTTGGCATCGGATCTACGCCCAAGTAAGTGGGCTGTACCTGTGCGACGTGCTCACGCATCGAGTGTCTCACGACATCACAAAACCCGAACGAGTCCGAGGCTCCGGCCAGCGTTCCGCACTGCGCCACCAAGATGGCTTGTTGACTAAAAATCTCACCCTGGCAGGTCGTCTTTGCCAAAATGATGTCTGTCTCGGATGGTGAGGTTTTTGCCGTTGGCCAAAACATCTGCAGTTTAGGAAGTGCTGTGAAGAGTTGATGATGGATCTACAGCCTTTTTTGTGAGGCTTTAGGGTCGGAATTCCAAACTCCACTTTAACTCGCAACGCGGCTTCCTTTAGACATGACCTTGCCGTCGCCTGGTCCGGCGTGTGCCACACATTCTTGAAGCCGCACTGTGTGAAAAGGGTGCACCACTCTGCAACGCGCAGCAAAGGATATGTGACGCGCCTCTCACCATGCAAGTTGAATGCATGGAACTACGGCTAACTTTCCATGTCTGAGACAGTCGTTGCTGAGACATTCGGTGCAAAGAGTTGGCCTTTCGCAATCTGTAAGCATCCACCATCCATCAGTCAGACCATAGGTCAAGTCCTTCCAACTGAAATAGCTATCAAGAAGCAGTACAAACTGAAATTGATTCCTTTAGCCTCACTCACAAATAAGAAATTATTCTCGTGCTTCACCTCATCGCGCTAAATTGGGACAGCATTGGCATAACATATCAAGCTGACATGGGAAAACAAAGACAAGTAAAAGGTAATGTATTTCCCACGCGTCCATCCTCTGGAAGGGTTCCAGGATTTTGCACTTCATTGAAGACTATGTGGCCACCCGGCTGCAAAAGGACATGGATTGTGGCCATGGTGGAAGCCAAATGCATAGTTGCATGGATCACATTGGTGGCCAGGATCGCAGTCATCTCGTGGCTATTGAAGCCCTGACAAGACCAGACTTTTCGCGACGTCTCAGATTTTAGACAACTATAGAATCAATATATAGAATACATCAACCTAGACCAACCTAAACGAAATGGCCTCCAACCTAAGAATGATGGCCTCCAACCGAATAGCAATGACCTCCAACCTCATAGCAATGGCCTCCATGGCCTCCAACCTAAGAGCGATGGCCTCCAACCTAAGAGCGATGGCCTCCATGGCACTCCAACCTAAGAGCGATGGCCTCCAACCTAAGAGCAATGGCCTCCAACCTAAGAGCGATGGCCTCCAACCTAAGAGCGATGGCCTCCAACCTCATAGCAATGGCCTCCATGGCCTCCAACCTAAGAGCGATGGCCTCCAACCTAAGAATGATGGCCTCCAACCTAATAGCAATGACCTCCAACCTCATAGCAATGGCCTCCA